CTCTGAATGGGGTGGGTGGGCTGGGGGCGCCTCCGTCTCTGAATGCGGCAGGTGGGCTGGGGGCGCTGCCGTCTCTGAATGGGGTGGGTGGGTCGGGGGGGGGCACCTCCGTCTCTGAATGCGGCGGGTGGGCTGGGGGCAAGCCTCCGTCTCTAAATGTGGCGGGTGGGCTAGGGGCGCCTCCGTCTCTGAATGTGGCGGGTGGGGGTGGTCGGGGGGGCGCTGCCGTCTCTGAATGGGGTGGGTGGGCTCGGGGGGTGGGTGGGGGCCTCCGTCTCTGAATGCGGCAGGTGGGCTGGGGGCTGCCGTCTCTGAATGGGGTGGGTGGGCGGGGGCACCTCCGTCTCTGAATGCGGCGGGTGGGGCTGGGGGAGCCTCCGTCTCTAAATGTGGCGGGTGGGCTAGGGGCGCCTCCGTCTCTGAATGTGGCGGGTGGGCTGGGGGCACCTCCGTCTCTGAATGCGGCAGGTGGGCTGGGGGCACCTCCGTCTCTGAATGTGGTCTCTGGTGGCGGGTGGGATGGGGGCACCTCCGTCTCTGAATGCGGCAGGTGGCGGGGCGGGTGGGCTGGGGGCACCTCCGTCTCTGAATGCGGCAGGTGGGCTGGGGGCACCTCCGTCTCTGAATGGGGCGGTGGGCTGGGGGCACCTCCGTCTCTGAATGCGGAGGGTGGGCTGGGGGCACCTCCGTCTCTGAATGCGGCAGGTGGGCTGGGGCGCCTCCGTCTCTGAATGTGTGCGGGTGGGCTAGGGGCGCCTCCGTCTCTGAATGTGGCGGGTGGGCTAGGGGGGTGGGCGCCTCCGTCTCTGAATGTGATGTGGGTGGGCTCTGAAATGTGGCGGGTGGGCTGGGGGCACCTCCGTCTCTGAATGCGGCAGGGGCTGGGCTGGGGGCACCTCCGTCTCTGAATGTGGGCGGGTGGGATGGGGGCACCTCCGTCTCTGAATGTGGCGGGTGGGATGGGGGCACCTCCGTCTCTGAATGCGGCAGGTGGGCTGGGGGCGCCTCCGTCTCTGAATGCGGCAGGTGGGCTGGGGGTGCCTCCGTCTCTGAATGTGGAGGGTGGGCTGGGGGCACCTCCGTCTCTGAATGCGGCAGGTGGGCTGGGGGCGCCTCCGTCTCTGAATGGGGTGGGTGGGCTGGGGGCACCTACGTCTCTGAATGCGGCAGGTGGGCTGGGGGCACCTCCGTCTCTGAATGCGGCGGGTGGGCTGGGGGCGCCTCCGTCTCTGAATGGGGTGGGTGGGCTGTGAGTGCCTCCGTCTCTGAATGGGGCAGGTGGGCTGGGGGCGCCTCCGTCTCTGAATGCGGCGGGGTGGGTGGGGTGGCTCCGTCTCTGAATGTGATGGGTGGGCTGGGGGCGCCTCCGTCTCTGAATGCGGCGGGTGGGCTAGGGGCACCTCTGTCTCTGAATGCGGCGGGTGGGCTGGGGGCACCTCTGTCTCTGAATGCGGTGGGTGGGCTGGGGGCACCTCTGTCTCTGAATGCGGCGGGTGGGCTGGGGGCACCTCTGTCTCTGAATGGGCGGTGGGTGGGCTAGGGGTGCCCTCTGTCTCTGAATGCGGGGGGTGGGCTGGGGGCACCTCTGTCTCTGAATGCGGCGGATGGGCTGGGGGCACCTCTGTCTCTGAATGCGGCGGGTGGGCTAGGGGCACCTCCGTCTCTGAATGGGGCGGGTGGGCTAGGGGCACCTCCATCTCTGAATGCGGCGGGTGGGCTGGGGGCGCCTCCATCTTTGAATGGGGTGGGTGGGCTGGGGGCACCTCCATCTCTGAATGGGGCGGGTGGGCTAGGGGCACCTCCATATCTGAATGGGGCGGGTGGGCTAGGGGCACCTCTGTCTCTGAATGCGGTGGGTGGGCTAGGGGCACCTCCATCTCTGAATGGGGCGGGTGGGCTGGGGGCGCCTCCATCTTTGAATGGGGTGGGTGGGCTGGGGGCACCTCCATCTCTGAATGGGGCGGGTGGGCTAGGGGCACCTCCATCTCTGAATGGGGCGGGTGGGCTAGGGGCACCTCTGTCTCTGAATGCGGTGGGTGGGCTGGGGGCGCCTCCGTCTCTGAATGCGGCGGGTGGGCTAGGGGCACCTCCATATCTGAATGCGGCGGGAGGGCTAGGGGTGCCTCTGTCTCTGATAACTCATCCATTTTAATGGGCTGCCTTGAACCTACAAGGACGTGCGACGTAACGCTTTAACCCTCGTGCTCCACCGCACCCCAAAGTCTTACCAAAAGGACCCCTGAGCGCCCCCCGTGCCCGGCTGGCAGTAATACTCTGCGGGGAATTTAGAAGTTTAGAAGTCTCAGGTATTGCCACCTCTGAACCCATACCGCTTACCCCTCCCCCCGCTTAAAGGTACGGCGCCCCCCAAAGGACGGCGCTGGCTCCCTGCAGCTCACAGACGCACGGAAAAAAAAAGTGAAAAGAAAAAAAAAAAGATTGCCATGCAGCTCGTTAACTTGTAGAAAAGTGGAAGTGATGAGGGCGGGTCACCGGAGTCTCATTTCCAAAAAAGGTTTTTGTGACCCGGCCATAAAGGAGTTAAAAGGGATGAAAGCGACGTATTTGTTCAATATTTGATACGTCCTGCGCGCTGCCGCTGCGATAATAACCCTTCTTAGCGTTTCTATCCCCAGACAATATATAATTTATAATTACCATGGAGACCGGCGAGCGCCTTTTCTGCTGTCTACTTATCGTAGTGTTTTACTCCTGTCTAGGCAGAGCCCCCCCATTCTAATATTCCGCCGTTGTCGCCGTTCCCCTCCCCCCCCCCCCCCCCCCCCACACACACACTCCGATACGCCTTCTCTGTCCTCATCCCAGATTTGTTTTCTCGGATAGTACTTTGATTCCTCTCGCCCACCACAATCTCTTATTCCCCAGCCGCAGGAGCACTTTAATAACACGAAAATAATTAGCACACCTGAACGCACGGAACGCCGCAGTGTGCCAGGATACGGGCAGACCGCACGCACGTTCACGCCCCCGCTCGCTCCGCCATTCGGCTGTTATTTTGTAACAATCTAGAAGAGAAATGTTTTAATGCTTGCAGTCCGTCGTGAGGTCACCCGACCGGCGGTGGTGGTGTGACATCATCGCGAGCGCAATGTGCCGAAAGGTGGATAGGAGCGATGCAAGTTGGATCCGTGGTTGTCATAGGAACCGCTCGCAGCCCTCCTGAGAAACTCAAACATTCAGAAGGCTTTTAGGAGAAGAGTTGACTTTGGCTTTTAGCGGAAAAAAAAAAGAAAGGAAGAGAATAAGACCCACTTCACATATTGCCGAAAGTACTGCCGGCCTTCCCACCCACATGACCTTCAATGGCCTCCCAGCCTTAGTCCGTAGGGTTCAATACTGGTTGGCCGGCCTTCCCACCCACATGACCTTCAATGGCCTCCCAGCCTTAGTCCGTAGGGTTCAATACTGGTCCCCGGCCTTCCCACCCACATGACCTTCAATGGCCTCCCAGCCTTAGTCTGTAGGGTTCAATACTGGTCGGCCGGCTTTCCCACCCACATGACCTTCAATGGCCTCCCAGCCTTAGTCTGTAGGGTTCAATACTGGTTGGCCGGCCTTCCCACCCACATGACCTTCAATGGCCTCCCAGCCTTAGTCCGTAGGGTTCAATACTGGTCCCCAGCCTTCCCACCCACATGACCTTCAATGGCCTCCCAACCTTAGTCCGTAGGGTTCAATACTGGTCCCCGGCCTTCCCACCCACATGACCCTCAATGGCCTCCCAGCCTTAGTCCGTAGGGTTCAAAACTGGGCCCCGGCCTTCCCACCCACATGACCTTCAATGGCCTCCCAGCCTTAGTCCGTAGGGTTCAATACTGGTTGGCCGGCCTTCCCACCCACATGACCTTCAATGGCCCCCCAGCCTTAGTCCGTAGGGTTCAATACTGGTCCCCGGCCCTTTCCCACCCCACATGACCTTCAATGGCCCCCCAGCCTTAGTCTGTAGGGTTCAATATTGAGTTGGCCGGCTTTCCCACCCCACATGACCTTCAATAGCCCCCCAGTCTTAGTCCGTAGGGTTCAATATTGAGTTGGCCCCGCCCTTTGCAGCTATAACAGCTTCAACTCTTCTGGGAAGGCCGTCCACAAGGTTTAGGAGGGTGTCTATGGGAAGGTTGGACCATTCTTCCAGAAGCACATTTGTCAGGTCAGGCACTGATGTCGGGGGAGGGGGCCTGGCTCGCAGTCTCACGCTCTAATTCATCCCAAAGGTGTTCTATGGGGTTGAGGTCAGGACTCTGTGCAGGACAGTCAAGTTCCTCCACCCCAAACTGGCTCCTTCATGTCTTTATGGACCTTGCTTTGTGCACTGGTGCGCAGTCATGTTGGAACAGGAAGGGCCATCCCCAAACTCTTCCCACAAAGTTGGGAGCAGGAAAAATTGTCCAAAATGTCTCCTTAAGAGTTTCCTTCACTGGAACTAGGGGGCCAAGCCCAACCCCTGAAAAACACCCCCACACCATAATCCCCCCTCCACCAAACTTTACACTTGGCACAATGCAGTCAGTCACTCCAGAGAACACACCTCCCCTGCTCTAGAGTCCAGTGTCGGCGTGCTTTACGCCACGGCATCAGACGCTTTGCATTGCACTTGGTGATGGAAGGCTTGGATGCAGCTGCTCGGCCATGGAAACCCATTCCATGAAGCTCTCTACGCACTGTTGTTGGGCTCATCTGAAGGCCACACCAAGTTTGGAGGTCTTTAGCTATTGACTCTGCAGACAGTTGGCGACTTCTGCGCACTGTGCGCTTCAGCATGCGCTGACCCCACTCTGTCATGTGACGTGGCCTACCACTTGGTGGCTGAGTGGCTGTTGCTTGCTCCCAGTTGCTTCCACTTTGTTATAATCCCACTAACAGTTGAGCGTGGAATATTTAGTAGCCAGGAAATGTCACGGATGGACTTATTGCCCAGGTGGCCACCTATCACGGGACCACGCTTGGAGTCACTGAGCTCCTGAGAGCAACCCATTCTTTCACCAATGTTTGTAGAAGCCGTCTGCATGCCTAGGGGATGGATTGTATACACCTGTGTCCATGGAGGGGATTGGAGCACCTGAATCACATGATATGGAGGGGATTGGAACACCTGAATCACATGATATGGAGGGGATTGGGTACACCTGAATCACATGATTGGGAGGGGATTGGAACACCTGAATCACATGATATGGAGGGGATTGGAACACCTGAATCACATGATTGGAGGGGATTGGAACACCTGAATCACATGATGTGGAGGGGATTGGAACACCTGAATCACATGATTGGAGGGGATTGGAACACCTGAATCACATGACATGGAGGGGATTGGAACACCTGAATCACATGATATGGAGGGGCTTGGAACACCTGAATCACATGATTGGGAGGGGATTGGAACACCTGAATCACATGATATGGAGGGGCTTGGAACACCTGAATCACATGATTGGGAGGGGATTGGAACACCTGAATCACATGACATGGAGGGGATTGGAACACCTGAATCACATGATATGGAGGGGATTGGAACACCTGAATCACATGACTGGGAGGGCGGGGACAATACTTTTGGCAATATAGTGTATATATATATCGTTGTACAATCACATCAGTCCCCGCCCCCGAGGAATGTACAATCTAAGGTCCCTAACTCACATTCATACATACACATACTGGGGCCAATTTAGACAGGAGCCAATTAACCTCCCAGCATGTCTTCTGAGTGTGGGAGGAAACCGTCGTTCCTGGAGGAAACCCACGCAGGCACATGGAGAACATGCCATCTCCGTCTTTTTAATTTTGTGAGTAGTCTGGCATCCTCTACATCTCTGGGTTGAAGTCTGTTGGTGGCGCACTCGGCTGGTCCGCTTTCTTCTTATGCTTGCAAGAGCAAATATTATGTGTAATGGTGGGTTTGCGGCCACCAATAGCAGCGCCTGTCCCCCCCCCCCCCCCCCCCCCACCCGATACAGAAATATGTCCTCTTCATATTAAATGATTATCTTGGATTGCACTAAACCCAGGAACAGAATTCACAGATGAACCGTCTTGATAACTACAGAGCAACAAAATGATCAGCTAGCCCAGCATGACGTGTCCAGAGTCCCCCCCCCCCCGAATGTAGACGAGGCATTACTGCTGAGTTGTTGCTTCTAGCACTATGGGGGGGTTTGCTGTGTCGGCATTTTATGTATAAGCCGCCATGAATGATGGCCATATTTGTGCAATATGAGTATCTCCTATGATCATCAGCTCCATATAGCGGACATATTTTTTTTTTTCTTTCATTGAGGTATTTCAGGAAAATATCCCACTATGACCAGTAGGTGGAGCTGATGACCATAGGACAGGAGCGTCAAACTCAATGTTATTGTGGGCTGCATCAGCATTATGGCTGCCCTTAAAGTGACAGTTGTATCTGTAAGATTATGTCCTGAGCACCCCCCCCCCTTACATCAGATGTCAAGACCCCCTCACCATAAGACAAGACCCCGCCCCCTCCTCACCATATAAGACAAGACCCCATCACCCAAGACCCCACCTCCTCACCATAAGACAAGACCCCACCCCCTCCATCACCATAAGACAAGAGCCCCCACCCTCTCTTACATCAGATGTCAAGACCCCCCCCTCCACCATAAGACAAGACCCCACCCCCTCCTCACCATAAGACAAGAGCCCCCACCCTCTCTTACATCAGATGTCAAGACCCCCCTCACCATAAGACAAGACCCCACCCCCTCCTCACCATAAGACAAGACCCCACCCCCCATCCATCACCATAAGACAAGACCCCACCCTCTCTTACATCAGATGTCAAGGCCCCCCTCCTCCTCACCATAAGACAAGACCCCCACCCCCTCCATCAAGACCATAAGACAAGACCCCGCCCCCTCCTCACCATAAGACAAGACCCCGCCCCCTCCTCACCCTCTCTATCAGACAAGACCCCACCCCCCCCACCCCATCACCATAAGAAGACAAGAAGACCCCCCCCCTCTCATCACCATCAGATGTCAAGACCCCACCCCCTCCTCACCATAAGACAAGACCCCCACCCCCTCCTCAGATGTCACCCATAAGACAAGAGCCCCCCCCCTCTCTTAACATCAGATGTCAAGACAAGACCCCCCCCTCACCATAAGACAAGACCCCACCCCCTCCTCACCATAAGACAAGAGCCCCCACCCTCTCTTACATCAGATGTCAAGGCCCCCTCCTCACCATAAGACAAGACCCCACCCCCTCCTCACCATAAGACTAGAGCCCCCACCCTCTCTTACATCAGATGTCAAGACCCCCCTCACCATAAGACTAGAGCCCCCACCCTCTCTTACATCAGATGTCAAGACCCCCCCCCTCACCTGACCAATACAGACCATAAGACAATAAGACCCCACCCCCTCCTCACCATAAGACAAGACCCCACCCTCTCAGATGTCAAGGCCCCCTCCTCACCATAAGACAAGACCCCACCCCCTCCATCACCATAAGACAAGACCCCGCCCCCCCTCCTCACCATAAGACAAGACCCCACCCCCCCCCCCCTCACCATAAGACAAGAGCCCCCACCCTCCCTTACATCACAGTGCACCCTGCTGGGGGTGGAGCTGGAGGCGAAGCTGGGAAGCAGTGCAGGATCTGGAGGAGGACCAGAGGAGGGTTGGAGTCAGCTTCTGGTGCCTGAAACCAGGGGAGGCGGAGATGAGGGGGTGCTGCAGCTGCTCAGAGAGGCACAGGATCAGTAGGAGGAGTTATGTCCTCCCCTCTGCTGCCAACTGCTGAGATGGGGGGGGGGGGGGAGTTTGCAGAGACAAGACTCTCTGCAGCTGCATGGAGAAGCACTGGATCTGGTGGAGAGGTTCTGTCCTCCTCTCTGCTGCCAACTGCTGAGACGGGGGGGGGGGGGGGGGGTGTCAGTGACAGGCCTCTCTGTAGCTGCACGGAGAAGCACAGGATCTGGCAGGCCTCTCTCTGCTGCCAACTGCTGAGACGGGGCGGGGGGGGGGGTTAGAAGCCAAGCCTCTCCGCAGCTCACAGAGAAGCGCAGGATCTAATAGAGGAGTTCCGTCCTGCTCTCTGCTGCCAACTGCTGAGACTGGGTGGGGGGGGGGTAGAGTAGAGCAAGCCTCTCCGCAGCTACACAGAGAAGCGCAGGATCTAATAGAGGAGTTCTGTCCTCCTCTCTGCTGCCAGCTGCTGAGACAAGGTGTGGGCAGAGATGAGGGGGATACCGCAGCTGCAGGAGAGGTGCATGAAATGGCCTGGAGGGCCAGATTCGGGCCGGGGGCCTTGTGTTTGACACATGTGCTCTAAAGTGTGCTGGGCGGGGGATAGGAGAACAGCCATCATGACCTTCAAAGCTCAGGTCAGTGGGGTCACTGCAAATGCATTTAGGATGAACAATGCCAGGCAATTGAAGACCTGAAGATCTGATCACTTCATTGTCTAGGTGCCAGGCCCAGCAATGGTGGCAAGTGCTGGGATTCTTTATCTCAGGTCATGACATCAAGCACCAGGCCGAAGCACTAGAGTTGGACAACCCATGGACCATTGGTGTGTTCTGATGATTCTCTCCATGAGAAGTCAATGCTTCCACTGCAGGGGAAAAACATGGCAGATTTCTGATTTTTGCACAGGTACTATTTATTTGCTGAATTTGGGAGATCAACATCAAACATATGATGTAAGACCTGAGAATATTTTGAAACTAGATATGTTCTCCAAAGGAGAGGGGCAAAAAAGGAAAGACTGTCATCTGGCTGCAAGAAACATTTAAAGGGTCTATGATTCTGCCAGTATGTCACGGTCAGGGGTCAGGCTTACTTGGAGACCAGTAGCTACAGCAACAGAGAGGCTCCAACCGGCCAGAAGAATACGTACACCAACAGGTCACCCTGGCGAATGACGCGGGCTCACCTAAGATGTGGGGTCTAAGCACTAACTGGTATTCACCAGAGCTCCTGATGGTGGAGATGGGTTTTTCTGTGTGTTAGTACCAGGTCAAGGTCCTCAGGATTGCCCCACCAGGAGGTGAGCAAGCTGGGGTCCAGTAGCAGATATAGCAGGTAAGGATGAAGTAGAAGCGTAGTCGAAAAACAAGCTAAGGTCAGTAATGAATGGTCGCAGGTTGCAATCAGGTGGAAGTGTAGTCAGGGAACAAGCCAAGGTCAATAATGAATGATCACAGGTTGGGATCAGGTGGAGGCATAGTCGAGGAACAAGCCAAGGTCAGTAATGAATGGTCACAGGTTGGGATCAGGTGGAGGCATAGTCGAGGAACAAGCCAAAGTCAGTAATGAATGGTCACAGGTTTGGATCAGGTGGAGGCGTAGTCGTGGAACAAGCCAAGGTCAATAATGAATGGTCACAGGTTGGGATCAGGTGGAGGCGTAGTCGTGGAACAAGCCAAGGTCAGTAATGAATGGTCACAGGTTGGGATCAGGTGGAGGCATAGTCGAGGAACAAGCCAAAGTCAGTAATGAATGGTCACAGGTTGGGATCAGTGGAGGCGTAGTCGTGGAACAAGCCAAGGTCAGTAATGAATGGTCGCAGGTTCGGATCAGGTGGAGGCGTAGTCGTGGAACAAGCCAAGGTCAGCAATGAATGGTCGCAGGTTGGGATCAGGTGGAGGCGTAGTCGAGGAACAAGCCAAGGTCTGTAATGAATGGTCACAGGTTGGGATCAGGTAAAAGTGTAGTCGAGGAACAAGCCAAGGTCAATAATGAATGATCACAGGTTGGGTGGAATCAGGTGGAGGCGTAGTTGTGGAACAAGCCAAGGTCAGTAATGAATGGTCACAGGTTGGGATCAGGTGGAGGCGTAGTCGAGGAACAAGCCAAGGTCAGTAATGAATGGTCACAGGTTGGGATCAGGTGGAGGCGTAGTCGAGGAACAAGCCAAGGTCAGTAATGAATGGTCACAGGTTGGGACCAGGTAGAAGTGTAGTCGAGGAACAAGCCATGGTCAGTAACAAATGGTCGCAAGTTGAGATCAGGTGGAGGCGTAGTCGTGGAACAAGCCAAGGTCAGTAATGAATGGTCACAGGTTGGGATCAGGTGGAAGTGCAGTCAAGGAACAAGCCAAGGTCAATAATGAATGGTCACAGGTTGGGATCAGGTGAATAGTCAAGGAACAAGCCAAGGTCAATAATGAATGGTTGCAGGCTGGGATCAGGTGGATAGTCAAAGAACAAGCCAAGGTCAATAATGAATGGTCACAGGTTGGGATCAGGTGGAAGTGCAGTTAAGGAACAAGCCAAGGTCAATAATGAATGGTTGCAGGTTGGGTTCAGACAGAAGAGTAGTTATGGAACAAGTCAAGGTCAGTAATGAATGATAGTGAAGTTAAGGACAGCACCAGGGATAAAAGGAGCAAGATATTAGCTGGGGAAGAGCATAATAATCTGGCAAACAAGAAGCTCAAAGGCTCAGCTTTAATAGGAAGTTCATGGGAGGAGCAAGGAGTTCCCGGTTTACCAGAAACAAGAAGAAAGTATGTTTGTCCAAGTCATCAGGCAGGTT